GGCGACGGCGACGGCGACGGCGAAGGCCACGGCGACGGCGAGGGCGAGGGCGAAATCGAGCTGGGCGGCTCGTAGTGCAGAAAGTAGGCCGAGCGACAGGAGATGTGCTGGCCCGGAGTGAGCGGCGCTCGGCCGGTCGACTCGACGGCGGGCTCGAGTCGGCCCGGCCGGACGGGAACTATGGTGACGAGCGGGGCTCGAACAATCGTAGCCGATTGGGCCGACGGGCCGGGAGGCGTGGGCGTCGACGTCGGCGTTGGCGTCGGCGTCGGCGTCGGCGTTGGTGTCGGCGTGGGTGACGGGGGCGGGCCGCGGCGTCTCGGCGAGAGGGTTCGAGAGCGTGGCGGCCCGACAGGACGACGTGCGGCGAGCTCGGCGGTCTCAGAGTCGGGACTGGCGACGGCGCGGCCGGCGCACGGAGTGCAGGCCTGTCGAGAGGGAGTGACGCGGCCGGAGGACCGTTGCCAGGGACAGCGTCGAGTGAGTCCGGTCTGGGCGCAGTGGAGCGCCGCGACGGGGCCGAAGGGTGTGGTACAGGATTGAGCAGAGACAAAAAGTGTGAACCTCTGGTCTCGTGGAAACGGGCCAATCACACAAAAAGTGCAGAATATGCTGAAAAACAACTCTCTCTTTCTCTCTCTCTCTCTCTCTGTATGTGAAGGGGGGGTGGGTGGATGTGTATTTGTGTATTTGTGTATTTGTGGCTGTGTGCGTACATGTCGGCCAGACAGTTGGAGACAATTGTCGTCCAACTCGATTCTTCTCAGACCTACATTCATGGCTAGTTTCCGCTGTAGAAACGACCACTTGGAGGAGACATTTTCGTCTTTGCTTGGGCCAAAAACAGCAGACAAAAGACATTCTCTTCCGATTGTGTTCACAGCATGGCAGGCCAACCACGACAGAGGCTGGAGCCGGTATCGTTTGGGCATGCCGTTAAAAGTGGTGTCCATTTGGCGGAGCACCCATTTACACGCGACTAGTTTAGACAGGGTGTGCACACTTGAAGGAATATGTGAACCGAAATGCTTTCTGAGACAGAAGAAGATGCCTTTCTAGAGCTGAACCGACGACGAGCCTCGTGAAAATGAGGAAAGAGGATACAAGAGCTGTAGGTTAACCATACTCGCGGCCCCCGTGATCATCCAGACGTACCAGAAAACCATTAAATGTTCATATTGGCTGTCGGAAAGGGCAAATACGTGAATATTCAGATTGTATGACTAAGAAAAAAACATAATTATCCTCTAAATTCCTCTTAACATACCTAAACTGAATTAAAATCAAGCGTCAATTGTGTACTGGATATTTTAGGCAAAAATAGGTTGTGACGAAATTGCCATTTATCTCGTTGTTAGCTTCAGAATGATCATTAGAATTTCAATGTCCAATCAAATCAAATCAACAAACTTATATTTAATGTTGACATTACAAATGGTAAACAATGATATTTACGAGTTGGCCTTGTTGATGTAGCAACCGCACTGATACGAGGTTATCGAGGTCTTAATTGTCACTTCTGTAGGAGGGAAAATGTAGAAGATGATGCGCCAGACGTTAGATCTACTTGACCCGAATCACGTGGCCATGATGATGCAAAAAGGTTAATACGTTGTGGATGAAACAGAAAGAAATTCTGCCCCATTTGAATATGTTCACACCCAAAAGCCAGACAACGGGCAATATGTCTTTAACTGTGTAATTAGTAATTAATGTATTAACTTTAATACTAGAAACGCCATTTCCTATTTTCATATATTATGCGATAGTATAATAATTTTTTAAAGTAAACTGAATCAATCGACCATAATTTTGTCTATACCTTATTTAGCAAGCAAGATTCTGTTTGAACCAACATTTAGAATTATTTCATAAGGAAAGATTCATAATTATAACTGTTAAGATTATGTCCCGATAACGGTGCACTTGGAAAGGAAAGGAGAGACAAGAATACGGCAAACTTTATTGTAATACATTTAAGGGCAAAGTTATTAATATCACCAAAAGTGATTATGGTTTTCCGCAGAGATATTTTCAAAAACATTTACCTTTCTATTGCAAAATTATTGTAAAAACGATTTAAAGAACATTTGATTTACTCTTATTTTATGAAAGCAAAATGCGAAAAGTGTAGGATAAATGAGAATGGGTTAAAGAAAAGTGTAAGAGTTGTCTTCACCTTGTTCTGTTTAATTGTTGGCTTATAGTCGAATTTTCCTACTATGATATGCTTAGAGCTGACGTTTCCATTGAATTTCACATAAACTTGCTTAAACAAAAGCGTTATACAGTTTGGACCTGCATTAGTCGAATCAACACAACCCAACGTAGGTCGGATCATGACAGTGCAGCATATAATCTCAACACATTAACCAATACCCCACATTCCAATGAGTGCCTTTCGGTTATAAAAGCTGTTGTGCATTTCACATAAGGTCCAGAATTTTACATATCGAATTCAGTGTTGTGCTTGCCTATTAGGCAAATTTTAATTTGCTACAACAATCGACCTTTATGAAACCTAAACTGAAATCCTACTCACCAACGGAAACAATAATGTCGTCGATTTCGGTCATATGAGCAGTTGTGCATTTCACATATAATCCAGCATTTTCCATATCGAATTCAGTGTTGGACTTGTCTATAAAGCACATTGTTATTTGCTACAACAATCGACTTTGGTGAAACCTAAACTTAAATCCTACTCACCAACGAAAGCATTAATGTCGTCGATTTCGGTCATAAGAGTAGTTGTACATTTCACATAAGGTCCAGCATTTTCCATATCAAATTCAGTGTTGGGCTTGTCTATTAAGCAAATTGTTATTTGCTACAACAATCGACCTTTGTGAAACCTA